GCAGAGAGGAGTAATAAATCAAAGATGCATAAGTTTCAGCCAGAAGGGGACACAAAAGGAGGTGATACAAGGAGGGGTAGCCTTAGTTTATCATGAGGCAGAGGCGACGCACAGAGAAGGGGAGGTTGGGATGTGTCGACCATTGGTTGGCTGTGCATCTACGAAAAGCACGCCCTTTGATGTGTGTACAAATGAGGGTAGCACAGAACGAAGTGGCTGCCTATGTATAGACGGTCGTCGCTACTTACATGTGTAAGCGTGCGTAGAGAGAATGAAGTGGGGCCTCTGAATCATGGCGATGTCTAGGGAGGCCTAATATTGCAATGAAAACGAGCCCCCCCCTGAAAAGTTAGAGCCAGAAACAGCTAATTAAAGAAAGCATGCTCATTAATTAATGATTATTTTGGTATGTAATGCGTATAGACTCAATAATTATGAAATGAACAAATCAAGCGAGAGTCAGAGAAGGGTATGATGAAGGGGAGGAACATGGGGGAGACGAAGGCGGATGGATGAGTGGGGCATTTTCCAAATGCGCGCATGTGTTGTTCATTTAATTATAGTACACGCTTTTCACCTCAAAATGCGCCTTATTTTGCAGCCCCCCCAAAATCAGACGTCTGAGATGTCAATTCCTGATCAACCTCCATGATCACGACCAAGAAAGCTAGTCATCATTGTTTCCAGTTTAGTCTCATTTTGTGTCTTCCCAGAAGAGCTAAATTAATGAATGAGTGGGGGAAAACGGGGGCGTAATATGGGCTGACTTGAAATGGGGAGAATGATAGGCCCAGTGGGCCTCCATTAGTGCGATTGCGATTGACGCTAAACCCGCGAGTGTCAAATAGTTGACATTAAGACGTGCCGCGCGTTTATCCTTTAAAATCCAGCAAGCAGCAAAAAACCTGTCTTTCTCACAGTAGCTGGCCTAAATTAGGCACCCGCCCACCCCTCTGCCCCCCGCCTCTTCTCACTTTCCATGCCTCACGCCCTCATCACTCGTAAGTCGTAACTACTAACTAAACGCTATTTAATTCTCAGGCCCATAAACATGAAAACACCATTTATTTCCTCTCTTTTATAAACACCGTTTATTTCATTGCACCTGATGCATATTCTGCATATATTTACCGGAAAAAAAAAATACTTACATGTGATTTATGTGCACTCAATTAAATTTTAGAAAAATGACAATAAAATACCTTCTGAATTTCAAAATAACAAATAACCTATCCAAATAAAAAAAATGACAAAGAAGGCATCAAATATCAATATGGGATTTTGATTTTGAATTTTACAAAACACATAATGGGATCTACAACTTTCATAGTGAGAATTACTACTTCATTAATGGGTTTTGCAATCTGTTTTGAAGACTGAACAAGTTTTGCAGAATTTTACAAACACATAGTGGGATTTGTAACTTTCATAGTGAGATTTACTACTTGATTAATGGGTTTTGCAACTTGTTTTGAGGAGTTGAGCGACTTTTCTGTAAAAAAACAATACAATTTCATGCTAAATTTTACAAAACACATAGTGAGATTTATAACTTTCATAGTGAGAGTTACTACTTCGTCAATGGATTTTGCAACATGTTTTGAGACCAAAAATCAAAATTCTAAATTGATACCTAATGCCTTATTTGTCATTTTGTTTATTCAGATGCCTTATTTGTTATTTTGAAATTCAGAAGGTATTTTATTGTCATTTTTCCTAAATTTTATTACTTCCGGCCAAAAAAATAAATTTTATTAATGAGATCTTGTTGTAAAATGTTAAATATTTTTTCATTTTTTTAAAATTTATATTGCATCCTCACAATCACACATGGAAGGGGCTATGCCCTCAGTCCTGTGCCAAGTCGTTTTTAAATCAAAGAGTTTTTTGAAGTTCCACACTTCGTGTTTTTTTTTTTTTAAGCATCGTGCGAGCTTCATACTTTAAAACATTGAATCAACGGATTAGATTTAGTAGAAGAAATGCCAACCATTATTCGAATTCGTACTAAGATAAATACTCACATTTAATATCTGATAGTGTTTCAATCAAACTTGTCAAATAAAAGGATATTGTGCGTGGCAAAAATAAATAAATAAAAGCTTTAAACCCCTGCTAAGTATGCGGACGTAAATCTTTCGACTGGGACTTCGTTCCTCTATTTTCAAACTACTAAAGTTTAGAATCATACTATATATGACCAACGCTGCTCATAGAAGAAATTAATACCTGATCGATTACCCATCTCCTGTCTCCGTCAGAGGAAAAAAAAAGAACTAAATACAAACTTTTTAATTTCTCAAACTAATAAAATCTAAAAGATAACCAAACTCAATACACCTATGAGCCTGTTTAAAAAACATTTTTACTATTCCAAAGAAAATAAATCAAACCAATAATTAACGGTGGTTGGAACGAAGAGAAATGGCTCAAATCCCTTTAAAACAGATTGAGAGTTCTACCTTTGTGATTCAGCCCAGCATTTTGCTGAAACGTGACCCAACAGTATTGTGAATCCAGTCATTACGGCAAAAAAGTTACATGAGTATTGGCTTATTTTATTTTCAGACTTCACTTTTAGAGATAAGTCTAATCCAAAATATAAGTTTTATTTTCTAGTTTGTTTGAGTATTTATTATTATTTTTTCTTAGTTTGTCTTTAGTTGACTATATTTAGTACCTTTTTCTCATTAATATTACCTTCATATATTCTCTTTTATCATTTTTTTTGGTTTATTGTCTCTCATTTACTCTTTTAATAAATAATAACTAATCTGAAAAAAAAATATTTCTGATTTATTTATTATTTTTAACTGATTTTAACTGGTAATTTGTTAAACGTGGAGGTTATATATAGGATTGGAGGGAATATATTGGTGACTCATTATTTTCGCATATAACAATGAGTTCAAAGTTGAATTTTTCTCGTGAAAGTTATGTTTCTCGCCATAAAAATAATTTCTGAATTATAATAAAGCTTTTTTTTTCGTCAGAAAGAATTCCACAATGCCTTGCACCGCAAATGTTCGTCTTAAATTGGAATTAACTGGCCCTACATAACTAGGCATTCGTTCTCATAACTAGAAAGGTTCGAACACGCGGAGGCCTCGTTATATAAACTTGATTATAATTTTTTTTACTGAGTCCGTTCAACTATTTCTAATTTCTATTAGCTGCTGATGAGTGCCCCCCTCATAATTTTTCCCCTTTTCCTGGTAAGCCTTAACAATTGGAATTAGAGTCCTCGCTTTACATAACCGAAAGGTTTTCAACCGTCAATCTTTTCATTTTGCCCCTTTATTTTCAACCGTTTTCAATCTTTTCATTTTTTGCCCCTTTATTTTTCATAATTTTATATATATTGATAATGAATTATGTAATTGGATGCTGGTTGGTACGTTTGGCACTGCTTAACTTGGTCAATCAAGTGATAATTCAATTGTTGTAAGTGCATGCACTCAAATTACATAGTGCTCCAACGTGGACGTCTTTGCAAAATCACTCATCTCACCCGAGAACACCACATCGGGTAGTGATCCTCATCTACGGCTACGCCATTAATCAGTGGAAATTAATAAAATATAACTAACGAATTTTTTTCTTCTTTTTTTCCTTTCATCACATCGTGAGACCCTTCATTCCAATTTTTACCATTTGGTTCAACTTTAGATGGCAAATTACTGTGTTCTTATATATAAATATATTGAAATCTACTACTTTTACTCCTTGATATAAAATTCAGTTGAAAAAAGAAAAAGTATACCAAATAAAACGGTGATCAATTTATAATTATATAATCTGTGAGACGCGGATTAATCAGTATGAAAACAAAGTCCATACAATACAATGCTCCAACATACTAAAAAGATCATTAACGCAATACATATACATAATCAAGGAAGCAAAGCTCACGTTGGATAACAAAAAAAAAAAAATCCATGCCTCGTGCATGTACAGTATAGCACACGCTTAACGCATATGCGTAACTGTATAAATAGTAGGGCAGGAAAAAGTGTGTATTACAGGTAGAAATTTGAACCTTTTTAAAAAAAAAAAAAAAAAATGAGTCGTCTGAACAATGATCTAATCAGTAATTAATATTTGGTAAAGAAAGTGTGTATGATTAAGTGTGCGTTAGATAGAATTCAGTGAAACTTGTTTTACTTACCCTGTATAGCTCTGATGATGAACACAGATATATTAGAACAGTAGGTATAACTATGACATGGAAACATATAAAGGTTGCCAGGTATGCAGTGATACCTTATAATTCAGTAGCAATATCAATGGCAGGTTGGTTTCGATAACTAGCGGTCGGCTAGCAACAGATGTACTACCGGGAGCTGAGGCCGACATGCGTGCTGCCTTTGCCGGAAACTTGTGGTGAATATATGTATTATTAGCCTCAATTTCATCTCTCCTACGTGTTGACCAACTAAAGCTTCTGTAGTGTACACGGAGGATCGATGTGGATGTTTCATCAGCTGAACTCGCCTTCATGTTGCGATGTCGTGGGTTCCTCTTTCTCTTACCTAATCCGACGGAGGAAAAGCGAAACAGAGACCTTCAAGTTTACATGTTAGTCAGTCTTCATTCATAAGATTATCACACGTCAGAAACTATTGCTAATCGTCTCCTATTGTCCACTATTAAGATAACATCTATGTCCTCACAACTCACGACCCACCAATATAGATATCACATCAATGCTTATGGAAAAAACGAAGTGGAAATGGTGGTGAAGGATACATATTGAGAAAGCGCAATATATATAGGTATATATTTGAATCAGTACTGTTGACGTTTTTGAGAAACACGGTCTCCAACCCGGACATATCCAACACTTGTTAAGCTGGCTTACAACCCAGCTCCCGGCATACGGCAGTTCAGCAACAACTGGTCTGCACTTGCACTCTCTCTCGCAACTGCTTCTTCTTCCTCCCATAAATGGCTTCCTCCAACTGTCAACTGCCACAAGCAATCGATCCAACAATCCCAAGATGTTTGGCAGCAGCGGAAGCAAATCTTCCACTGGGCGCCACCCCGTTTACAAGGGAGTGAGGCGTAGGAGCAGCGGAAAATGGGTGTCTGAAATTCGGGAGCCCAAGAAGCCCAACCGGATTTGGTTAGGCACGTTCCCTACCCCTGAAATGGCCGCAGTCGCCTACGACGTCGCCGCCCTTGCTCTTAAGGGTGAGCACGCCGACCTCAACTTCCCCGACTCTGCTTCTTCCCTGCCCGTCCCCGCGTCCACGTCTCCCTCTGACATTCAGATGGCTGCAGCCAGCGCTGCCGCCGCCGCCGGGGCTGCTAAGGATGCTTTATCTGCGGCCACCGGCGAGTCGTCTTCTTCAGTGTCACTGAAAGAGAACGAAGCGGGAGCGGCGGAGGAGTTTGTGGATGAGGATTTGATCTTTGATATGCCAAATGTGCTGCTCAATATGGCTGAAGGAATGATGCTCGCTCCTCCTCCACTGAACTGGGATGCTGCTGCTCCCCCAGATTACACGTCTCAGGATCCATACCTTTGGAACTTCCGCCCCTAATTAATCATCTCCTTTATCTCCTTATATTATATAATATATATAATAATGCTTGAATCGAAAATTAATTACCCAAAAATATAGTAATAAAGGTGACCTGTAGTAATAAATTATGGGAGAGCTCTCACATCGAAACTTGCTTCGACACGACGGAATTAATGGAATGTATGAGTGTGGGCGTAGTGTGCATCTTTTCTTCCCTTAACTCTGCTTCATTTCTTTTTCCTGTACAGAACCTTATATATGCCGTTTGTTGCTGCACCTCAAGATTGTAAGATGCTTTATATATATATATATATATATATATATAATGCAATGTGCAATGCAATGTGCGTTAATTAAACGAGCTTTTCGGTGTTCTTTTCTGAGGTCAGAGTTGCAGACCTTGTTTTCTTCAATCATGTAAAAATCCCCTTGCTTACCTTGAAATAATACTGCCTCATAAGTCGTGTGTGCAATATTAATCATCTGGATTGCCTTTATCTTTGACGCCCATAACTCTAGGTTTGTCATCTGGAATAGGAGGTCTGAGTCATCCGTACAAGTTACAGCTTTGCTGCTTTAATCTGAGTCATTCATTCTTCCTGCAATCCCAGATATAGATATATCTTTGCTACTTTGTTAGAAACTAACAAGTTTAACTTGTACTTTGTTCGAAGTTCCGATTCTGGTTATCTGATGTATAGAAGAATTGCTCTGATATATGCGTTCAATTTCATCCCCCTAGGCAGGTTTTTGGTCCTTAACCATAAAAAAAAGCAGAGAAAATAAAGATATGTCTGGTTTGGTAAAGATATTAAAGTGAGCAAGTGGGAAGACCATAGTCAATAAGAATGGATGATTATTGGGTTGAATTAGTGGGCTGCTGGTATCCTAACAACGTTCCAACCAAAATTCTACATTCTCTCAAGATTATACAAGAATTAATGATTAATATTGAAGAGCATCAACGAGGTTCTGGGAGCTATATAGGGGCGATTTCAGAGCTCCAGCTTGTGGTCCTCCTTATTACCCTTTGTTGACGTGTCATTCTGAAGAAGTTGGGCTTGTCAAACGTGGCATTCGTGGTGGAAAACAGATTCCATTTTATTTTCCAAAACATGCCCTTGAATTGAACACGACATTTCACCTTCCTCTGATAGTGATTGCCCTACCACGCACCATACCTATATTATATATCTATACACAAAGTTTCCCTATATGTCCGCGCATGTGTTTTTCAGCCAAGTGAAAGAAACTACGTTCTCAAAAAGGCAACTCAGAGACAGATTATTGTTCATTAAAGGTACTGTATCTGTACGATGATTTAAGGGTAAGGAGATTACCTCTGTAGAAAAATCAACCAATTATTCTTTCCGCGAAAAATAATCAGGTCCGTACGCACGAGTTGAGCAGAGACCAGGGGCTCTTGATCCTGAATGATTTGCTTCGTAGCCATTGTTTTAAATTAGGCCCCTGCTTTGACTTTGTCAGGGATGTTAAAATCTGAAATAAAGACCAATCAACTTATACCTAATGAATCATGAAGCATTTTTTTTAGTTCCAGATATAAAAATATGTATTTAATTGATATATATAGAGAGGGAGAGATTGAAATAATGCCTATTTTTTAAAGCAAACAATGTAGGGAGAGGTGTTTGGGATATGTGGCAAGGAGAAAGTCAAGAGAGGACATAATTAGAGTAATAAGCAATGGTTGAAGCACCACCGAAACCAGAATTCACTTTTGTGGGCTATTGTGTGCTGCTTGCCATTCATGCGTCACCCCACACACGCACACACTCTCACTCTCACTCTCACAGAGTGGTCCCCTCTCCGCCGTTTTTTGGATGGTACAACTGCTATATATAATGGAACCAGTTTCGGTGCTCATCCATTTGATGAGCACCATAAGCTAATCAGATCTGAACCGTCCGTATCTTATTTGAGTAGTTTAGATTTGATTTTTTTTATTTATTTAAAATAATTATTTTAATATGTATAGAATCTAAAATAGTGATAATCTCTTAACTATCATTCTTTCAAAAAATAGTTTTTTCTATTTAAAAATAATTAATTAAAGACTTCAAATCTGAACCATTCAAATGAGATACAGACAGTTCAGATCTGATGAGCTTATAATGTTCATCAAAAAGATGAGCACCGAAACTGGTTCCTATATATAATATCACAACTGTCTCATGCATAATAACCGCCATGTCACTAATTATTTATGGTAAGCTGCTTGCTTAGTTTGATGTGCACTGGATTTGTACCTCAACTAACTTAACTGCTTTCAGTGCTGTCAATTTACCACTGTTTTGCTTCTATATTTGTCTATCATCACTTCCTTTTCCAATATAATTGCTTTCTATTCCCTTCGTTCAATTTGACTTTCTGAACAAATTATTTACTAAACTATATGTAAGAAGCTGCGTGCCAATCGTGTGTAGTGGTCAGAATGGTGACGCTTTTGAATTTTCTTGGGACGAATTTTCATCCAGCAAAGCCAGTACGTACGTTGACACACGGCTATATTATGCGACCTTTATGAATTTCATTAATTGATTGTCTCGATCAGACGACATTATTCCAAATGAAGGTTAAAAGAATTAAAGAATATTTCATACTCCTGGCGTATAACCTAAACTAAAACGACACAGCGCAGCACAAGCTGGGCATGCTTCATATATACAGCGATATGGAGAAACTCATTTCCTGTCTTCATCTTGGACGACTTCTTCTGCAACTACAGTCCGCACCTTGAAGCGCTCAAGCTTGTGTGATGACTCGTGATCAATGCCTCGCGATTGAATGTCCTTATTGTGTTGGAATCCGCCCCTGTTCTCTAATTTTGCGAATATACCTTCCACTTCCGATTTCAGGCGATCTCTTACTCTGCCTTCACCTGCATGTATCTTGTCACTATGTTCCAATGCTTCATCACCCTGCACCTGGCACCTCATGTCCATGTCTGGAGGCTGGAAGCTCGGATCGTAACTGTTAGGTGGTCTCGCGCGTTGAGGAAGTTGGTTTACAACCCGTCTCTCAGCGCCGGAACTCGTCATTCTCAAAAAAAAGAGGGACGAACGCAGGTTTTGATGATTGAATCTGATTGAGTGGCTTCTTCTTTGTTAACATGTGGGTGAGAGATGAACCAAATGATGAGTACAATAACGTGAAATCCGAAATGCCTCGATGCTAATGCTATGAAGGAATTGACCTGGATGGCCTCTATATATATATAGTAACGAGACGAGCCGGGGAACTCTCTCGGAAATGGCAAATTACCATTGACAAATCAAAGCACTTGAAGTGGGGCCCAAGTCGTGCCGTGCTTATCGCTGAGTCTTTGACGACTTCTTACGCGACAAATGATCCTTCAGCGTTATATTGAACAAGTAAATGAGGTTGACAATTCTGCGAGAGGCTGCTGGTGAAAGTTTCTCCTGGGCCAGAACGAGAAATGGAGTAATATTTGACGCGCTTCATTTAGATGACCACCCATATCCTGATTTATCCAGTTTTCATATGCAGACCGGTTGATTGCCGCCACCCACTTAAATTATAAGTGGCTTTGAATGGTTTTTGCTCGCATTTGAATATTTTCTATGGAGTACTGATCAAACACGACACTGATGTCAAGTGTGCAAGAATTTCGTGCGCATTGCATGATAGGTCCAAACAGGGAGGACTAGCTTGGAGTTTTGAAACGTCAAAGCGAGAGATGCCAGAAGGGGATTGGAAGTGTTCCGTTTCTGATCTTTTTCCCAGCCCATGCCTCGTGCTAGCTAGTCTTAGGGTTGAAAGTCAACAATGGATCGATTTCGTCTTTTTGCTTCGCCCATGAACAATCCATCTACGTGTATGTTACATCTATACACGACATTTATGAAAAATTGTCCCAAGTTATATTATTTGTCAAATTTCTTGAACTAGCCCGTCCATCGAATTCGAAAAGTTCAAGGTCATTCGACGGTGAGTAGAGAAATGAACAACTCGGACTTATTCTGTGCACATGGCCTATTCGGGATACATTAATGTCACATGTGATCATTTTTAAAAAATATTAATTAAATATATAAAATCAATATTAATGTCATATTAATATCAATATATATATAACTAATAAATCAATATATATATATATATATATATAAACCAGTAACAATTGCATCATTCGTGATGAATAAGGAATGAATGATGCGGCTTTCAACTCTATACCTTAGATTACATGTAATATATGAGCTGCCTATCCGACGGAATACGTGACGGTACCGACTACTAAATGTTCTTAATTAACTATTCAAGCACACGTGCATGGCTCATTCTATTTTTTAAAAGTAGAAAAAATGTATTTAAAATGTGGAAGCAAAGTATGGGTGGGAAATTAAAGCAGCTCACGGTGTTTGTCTGCGTCGAGGCCTTCTCGTTGACCGGAAGGTGTTGAAAGCCGATAAGCCTTGACTCCTTGCTCCACCTGCCTTTCTCTTGCCACCGGAAATCCCCCGACTCACGGGTATATATCCGTGTCGTCAATAATGCCCCGTCGCGTCATTAATAAAATCTACTCTCTTAAAACCCCCCCCCAAAAAAAAACTTAAAATACAATACAGTCACCAATTTACCATTAATATTATTAACATCTTAATCATTCGTTATTAATTATTTATTTCATTATTGTGACTTAAGTGTATAGATAACCCACCACCTTCTTCTTCTTCCTTCTTCCTCTTCATCGAATAAGCATGGGGCCTTGCAATATTAATATCCCCACCCATCGCGTAGCTGTTACTGAGTCTTCAAGATATCATCTTGAGACTCACGTGTGCAACCTCAAAAATCAACTTCCATTTCTGAGATTAATTATGATCTCTCCTACCTAGTAGATACGATCTTTCTTGATGATACAATGATGGACATCATATTAAAAAGAAAACAAGTATCGAACACGTTATCTTTTCAAGTTCTGATATATAATTGGGACATTGGGCCAAGAGCAAAATGTTCAAATTGATTACAATATTCTTTCAAACAAAACTAAAAATGGAATCTTCACAAAATTAAAAAAAATGGAATCCATCAATAAACAAGGCAATTTTGACGGAATTAACTCATTAAATTAGATCAGAAAATATCTGCAGTCTGTGGCCCATAATTTTGAGAATGTTCTCTCCCGAACTTGTATACAAAATTATGGCTTGCTGGACGAGTGATCCAAATTGCTCGGAGGCCAACTACTGGACAGCGGAGAAGTAGGTCTGAGCCACCGTGAGAACCAACAAGATAAATGCAGCCAGCGCAGATATAAACGACCAGGGCGTGTCAAAATAGGTGTACTTGAAGCTCGCCCACTGAACGTGCAACCCGCTCCGATAGTACTGATGAACATCGTTGAACAACTGGGATAAGTAACACGTATCTATATCAAATGCCACTTCTTTTCCGGCGCTGTTGAAGAAATGGGCAACTTCCCCGTCTGTGCCGAAATGGTTCTCAATTATGTTCCGATCGCATAGATACTCAACGTCCCTGTGAGTGTTTATGAGGCAGTCCATGAGGGTCACATAGGTGGTGATGTCCATGGAGCAACCGTTGTAACACTGCTCGAAGGCCTCGCAGTTGAGCAGGAAAGAGCTCATGAAATCGTCGATTGTGATGGTGGGCATTTCTATGACGCCGCTCCTGAATGTGACATCCAAGAAGCTATCTCTCTCCGTGGGAGTGATTTTAATCCCCGCGCTGCGAAGTTTAGAGACGCAGTGGATCACGTGGGTTGGCGTTGGCACCCTCTTTTGTTCCCTGTTCAGATTCGGTACGAAGCTGGAGCGAACCAAATCCAGCAAATGTTTTCCTTTGAGATGGGGGAAGCGAGCAATGACTTCGTCAGGCCGTAGCGTTGAATGGTTGAAGAATTCCAAGGCAAGGGAGGACAGGGTCGGGGTTGATTCTTCTTGGGGCAAATTTGAGAGTTCGTACAAGCGCTCCAGGATGAAATAAGGGATCTGATTCTCGAGCTTGAGAAAATCCCTGTAAAGAAAGGGGAGTATCCAGGACATGGTGACGAGTGGGTCATCAGGCTCAAACGGGACCAATCTCCCAACTTTGCGGAACAATTCAAGGATGAAACAGCCATCAAGAACCATCATTTCGATGAATTCGTGAGAATTGAGGGGAATGGTTTCGGAATAACACTCTCGGGCTCGGGATTCCAGCAGGGCTACGGCTTTTAAGCAGTCCTCCAAGCCTAACCCTTTTGCTTGGGTTCTGGAGAGCAAAGAACCCAGATAGCGCCACTTGTGCTCTTGAATCATATTAAAGCGAGGTTGGGCCCGGTGATAAGGGCCTATGGATACGATCCGGGGTTGGTACGCTTTTCCGTTAACATCGGCCAAGCTGGTGGGAACTCTGAAGATGCAGCAAGACTTCTTGCCCGCGGCTTTGCTTAGTAATTTTGGGTCCTGCGAAATATTTTCCAGCATCGAAGCCAGCCTCTCTTCATCTACCTGCCACATATCGATTATGTGGGGATTGTCCTCTTCCGCCATCGCTGACGGCGGCGAAGTTGCTTGGCTCGCAGTTGCTCTGATATGTTGACCTGATGCCACCACCCACCGTGAGCCACAAGCATGGCCTCCTTTATACTATTTGTGCGTGCAGATTCAGCTAATCATTTGACAATTATTTTACTAGACCATTCTAAAATTAAAACCACCGCAGCAATCGGCATGGGGCCACAATTTCTGGGTTAGATATACGGGAAGATTTGATTCCGTTGTCCCGAAAATGACGAGACTCGGCAACCTCTTCGTTTTGATTTTTGAAATTGTATGTTACTGGGCCGGGCCTATGAGGCTGTGCCTTTCCTTTTCTCAGAGAGAAAAATGTCATTAGTCCAGATGACATAATGGTTGGTATCAGGCCTCTTCTTGCAAGTCTGAACAATTTTCTTTTCTTATACAAGAAGACCAGATTGTTTTCTAAACGAGGTCCGAGTTATAACTTGGTAATCGCTATTATTTTGTGAGCCATGCGGTGGCCTTAATTAAGGCCGAAAGAGAAAATCAGAGAAACCATAAAAGAACGGGTAGTAACTAAAAGAGTGAGAGATATGCCTAGTTAAGGCCTGTTTCCGATATAAAATCTCATGGGAAGGAAGCAGGGTGCGTGAGGATGAGAAATAGCATGCCGCAGTAGAATTCAGAGGATGAGAAATCAGTCAGTCCACAGAGTGAAGGGGAAGGGAGCTTCGGGAGGGAGCCAATTGAAGCCTGTCTGCAGGGCGGGTGGTGGGATGATCAACCCCTCTGCCATGCTATTCATCAGGGCTGGCATGTTAAACAGCTCCTCTTCGTCCCAGTATATGCTCTGGGAACCCCTTTCCGAACCCATCCCTGCCATTCTCATATCCCAAGCCTCTGTCCCTTGGCCTGAAATATACTTGGCAGCATCTTCCATGGACGTAGCTGCGTCGTGAGGAAGATTCATGGAAGCAAATCCTGGAGCTGCAGCTGCCGTGTCTCTCTCAGGCCACTCGCCACTACTTCTCTTGTGAGCCACTTCGAGCCCGCTCATCTCTTCTCGCTTCTTTTCAGTTCCGCCCCTTTTCTTCTCCATCTTGTTCATCTTGGATCTGCACTTCACCAGTCCTTTGCCTTAATTCTGTCTTCCATTCTCACTCTCACTCTCGACCTCTCCATTATATTTGCTTTCGGATTGTTGACGAGCTTTTATCAGCCTCTAAAGTGTAGACGTGTTGCCTGGAGATGGCGTGGTAAACGTGGCAGGCACGGACGGTTAAAGCATTTCTTAAACTATAAAAAATGTTCCACGCGAAAGAAACTGAATCTTTCTTTCACACTGGACCAGCCAACGTGGCTGAGAGGTAAAACCAGGATCAGAAACCCGGCTTGCAGTTTTGTGCGCTATTCTTGGTTGTTGTGGGTTTTTAAATATATATGATTACCTTCATTCCAGGCGTTAAATTATTTATTAAAAGACTAGAGAAGTGGTTGGCCAAGAAAGATAAAATAAAATATCATTTGATAAAAGCGAATCATATAGTACTCCTCTGCTCCTTAATATAGAACTCAATTGTTGAGTTGGTTTTGATCCTAAATATAAAACCTATTTCTTATATTCATCAATTTTTTCTGAATTACCCGTATAGATGCTCCCTCAACCATAATCAAGTAGAAGAGGGAGAGAGGTATTAAGAAAGATGATTATGGTATTTTAAGAAAAACGTATCACATTTCTTATAATTAACTAATTTACCTAACTTTCCTAATCTAATCAAATTAGTTAAATAAATCTTATATCAAGGACGGGAGGAGTAGTATCAATTTAAAAAAAAATACGAGAAAAGTTCATCAGTGTAATCAGTCGATTCATTTATCTTTCAATTATTCGCAATCTGCTTCCAAGCCGGTCTTTGTATGTTGGATGATTCCATCTGAAAAAGAAGTTAAAAAATAAATTAAACATCGCGTGAGGCATGTGCTAGAAGGCTAACTCAGGAACACTGGCGGAAGAGGGCTAAGGGCCAAAGCATCAAGGGGATCAGTCCAAGCCTGCAAGATGGTTGGGACACGTGGAAGCCCAATAATGGGTCAGTGAAATAGTGATGAATTTTCCTCCAGGAGAGATCCAAGCGTTGGATCACTCCATTCACTTACGCGGACGAGAGTAAAACTAATTTACCCCTCTAATAGGCTCCACCCCTCCCACGGTCCACACTGTCTGAAATACATTTGACGTGAATTTATTTTCTGGATCTTCTTTCATCTCTGTGCGACCATTTATAATTATCTATACTATTAAATCATGTATACACATAACTTGTTTGGTTTTAAAGTTTTAAATTTGCGTGAACATGTTATTCATGGAAACACGACACATTAAGAAATTTATATATCATAGAAAATTTCGGGGAAAAAATTACACAGTAATGATGGACGCTAAACTAATTAGCTTTTCTCCCCTTTGAGAATTATTAGCACGAAGTTTTTCAGTTTGACGTGGGTCGGGAGAGGATGGACACCGTCCAAATTCCGAAGTGCTCAAAAGTGACAGTATCAGCAACGAGCCCAATGGGTTTGGTACTTTTGGGGGCTCACGAGTTGGGCCAGGCTGTCCAATCATACTCTTCCTTTGGATCCGAAGTAAGAAAATCCCCTTCACTTTCCATATTTTTAGGCCATGGCCCTCTTCTGTACCAAGCCGACAAGGAGGGATCGTGGATGAATGGTGGGCAAGTCCCCAGCGAAAGCAGGAGGCTCCTGGCACCTACAAAGCTGAGGGCATCACTGAATGACGCAAAAGCTTCCGCGAAGAAGCTAATCACTTTAGCCATCCCTAAAGCCGATTGATGAGGCATCCCATCGCAGCGCCTTGGAAAAGAATACATATCCTCTATATTCGTAGCATCAAAATCTGATTAGTCCTTTTCATGTTGTTCCTTCCTCGAGAACCGAGAAGGTCCCCCCCCCCCCCCACCAAACTATATTCTTCCCTTCCCAGCTTTCCTCCTCGACCCCACCCACTTCTCTTTATTCCTTCCCCTTCTCATCCTTAAATTCGTCACATGAGTTCTTCTCTTCATCAAATACCCAATGCATCTTATAATTAGTAGCTCCTTACCTCATTCATCGCTTTTGCCTTATGATGATACCAAATTATTAATTGAAATGAGCGCATGAGAAAATGAGGGTTGACATATGTAGATATTATAGCATTTGAATTCAATGAGAAAGGTGACTCACATATGTCGCTAAATACACTAGTCATGTACATACACCTGGGGTATTTTTGCTAGCTGGCCTATTCCATTTTACTAGGGTGCAAATCACACTGTACTCTTGCAATAACATCTCAAATTAACATGCTAGTTCCTCCGACATTTCTTGCACTAAAAATCCAAAGATAACATGCTCAAGCTCCCCGGCCATTTCCCTCATATGTTGCCCATTTTCCTTCCATCCTCCATCCTCTCTGCTCAAGTCTTGTTCTACCATCATATCGATTGTGTTTGCCTCCACCCCTCTCCACAATTCCAGCCTCTTGCATACCCTTTTTATCACCCTCTCTCTTTCTTCCTCATCCCCTTCCCCCCTTTCTCTTTCCTCTGTCAATAGATCGCCAATTAGTCTCTTCAAGTCTGCTCTGATTTCTCCTCTCCCTCGCAAGCTTGACTCCCTCAGCACATCTAACACCAACTCATTGCAGCCGTTTTCTTTATCTGATGCTTCCTCATTGTCATCTTCCCACTCACACTCCTCAAGGAATGTTTCTTCATCATCATCATTATCATCTTCTTCTTCTTCTTCTTGATCAAACAATCTTTTCTCCAGCTCAACAGGATCCAACTCTGCTAGTTTCTCAAATCTTCGAAGCTTCTGCAGAAGCTGCTCCTTAGCTCCTGTCAAATTAAAACAAGCAAATGAGCATCAATAATAAATATCTTGTTCAGTCTAATACTTATGATTGCTTTTCAAACGTTAGGAGCAGACAGTAATAAATGAGAATCGCTCTTAGTACTCTTCATTTAAGTGAGTCTGCATGGAGGACAGACTCTTAAAGACAACAAGTACAGGATGGAAAGCAGCTCCTCAAGTAGTGAATAATTTAAAATGCCCAAATTGATCCTCAGGTGCCTGTACTGTCAAATATTGCCAGTGTCAAAAGCAACGCATGACCAATAATTCATGGGATCCACCACTTTCAGAAGGTAAAAAGAGGTCAGAGACGCAGAATTTTCAACATCGAAATACGACCACCAAAAGTAATGAGATTTCAAACACCTCTTATTACTAAAATCCCAACCAGCATATTGTGAGGTCGCATCGTAGTTAAAAGGGTTCTAGTTACCAAACTAAAACTGTGGGTCATACTCAAATTTATGAAAGCAGTGCTCATGTCTGCAAGTGAAAGTTGAGCAGGACACGTCCACATTGAATGGGAAATGCCTTTGGGGGAGCCAGCGTGATCTTTGGATGGAACCCACACAGATATTGGGTTCAATATCAGAAATAGCCACATTAGCATTACTCCCTCTACTTTTTTTTTTTTTTGGTAATAATTACTCCCTCTACTTTAGTAACAAAGAAGCAGATTTGAAGAGTCGTGTACGACAATTTGTAGACGGAAAACGACCACACGATATGCACAGAATGGTACACATCAAAGTTAAGTATTGACATACTCTGTACAATGGCATAGCTATTCTCCAAATCAAAACCATCCTCCTCCTCCTCACCCTCCTCATTGTTTTCGTGCCCCTCGTCATCGTCCTCGAATGGTGGGTCAAAAATAGAGACGGGACTACACTGTTCTTTCTCTTCTGTTTCCTCTCCTGATTGGCATTGGTCGACCCTCTCTGCTCCATTATTCTCTTTGTCCTACGAAAATTCATCACATCCTTCATTAAATACTGTCCTGATTTCGCTAATGCAGTTTTCTTTTCACTTAAAAACATAAATCCGAATCATAAATTGCTTTCTAGTAAATTCAATGTTGGCATCTAACAACTGCATGCAAGAGAGGAGTCGAAAACAAGAAATTTACTTCTAAGAAATTAATCGCTACACAATCCATTGGAAGGTTATTGAGATAAAATACACGAAACATTTCTGGATGACAGAAACATGATGGGAAGATACAACAATGAATTTCCAGGAAACAAAAACTGTTGAATTGACACATCTGACCCTCCACTGACCGGATCATCGGCTTTTATAACTTTGGAGCGATTTGCGGGTATTCTTGTCATTCTACAGTAACATTCCGGCCAATTTTGCAGACCCTGGTCTCCAATTGCCGACACCCAGACCCCCCCCCAACCAAAAAAAAGACCTTCGAACTGAATGAACCCGGTTGACTCGTGAGTCAGCTCGGCCCATCCGGAGAACCGAGTTTTCATATACTTATCGTTCAGTGCTGACCAGACCGTCGTGTTTATCTTGAACCAAAAGAAAATTAAAACTGAAGACATAAGAAAGCGACAAACCTGCGTTGTGCGGCAACTCGGAGACGATGCCGGGGAAGCTAATTCCGGCGTGCCGGAGGCAGAGGAAGCGCTCCTGTGTAGAACAAAACCGAAAGGGCTTTGGCAGAGGGCGTTGTTATCACAACAAGCACACTCCGTGATGTTGTTCCGTTTGGAAAGAAAGTCAAACTCTTCAAACTCGTCACACTGGCTACTTATCGACGTTTCCATGCCCAAAGATTTATCTTCATTGCTCTCCGACCAAACAGCACTGCTCGGCCTACCGTTGCAGGAACAGAGAAACTCCACCTCACAGGCACTGAAGTCCGAGATATTATTATCCTTCTGAGAGTCCGTCTTTTCAGAGAATCCGTTAAGAAGTTCTCCACGACCAGTTGACGAATCCCACCTCAATATTTCCTTCACAGGGGCCTCAGCTCCTCGGTCATCTATTTCCCGCTTCCGGTTCCGATTACGTTGCGTCAGTCTCTTGAAGAATGACCCAAACAGGCCGAAGGCATTGCTTTTGTGTTGGGCTTTGGTTTTGGGAGAGGCGGAGGACTGTTTGTGTATTCTTAGAGCAGCTTCGAGAAGGAGTGCTGCCGTTCGAGCAGGGATGTGAAGAAAAATGGGATTGGCAGAGGCGGAGGGGCTTTTCGCCGGAGAAGGCAACTGGAAGAGGGGTGATTTTCTGGCGTCAGGCGTGTCGGTGAATGAGAAAAAGCAAGCGTGTTTACAGAAATTAGCGGGGAAGTTTAAGTTTTGATGCATTGGTCTTCGCCTCTTCACTTGCATACTACTCTTGGGAGAAGGCCTCTCCAGTTGACTCCGCCTATCAGAAATGTATTTTTTCAGAAGGAATGGCTCTTGGTCCTCCTTCAGTAGCTCGTGCAGGTGCTTCTGAGCCATCATCGCCTGTATGATTGCAGAAAATGTGTGCCAAAATACCAAGTGATACAGAAGAGATTACAAAACGAAATGTTGCAGAAATTATGAGGACGAAGAGACTCCAGTTTAGAGTACGTGCACAGGAGGACAACCACAAATGAAATCCCCTAGGAAGATCGACATTAGAGAGAGAAGGGGGGGGGGATGAGGAGACTTGGTGATTCAAATGGAGTTGAGTTAAAATACCGAGGCAAGGGGGTGAACCGGGGAATAGGGTGATCAGTTATTTTTAAAAGCATCTATACAAAATAATGCTACTGAAAGCGGAAATTACTTATTTTATAGTAATTTCATTCTTGTTTGCTAGCGATGGCAAAAGGAAAAAGCTAGTTTGAGTGGGAGCAAGTGGAGGGGAAGGGGGCGTTTATGAGGGGTCAACAAGATTAACGCGGAACATTTACATTTCACTTAATAATAATCGCGGACACTGTTGTTACACTAACAGGTTCGGTTACAGCTGTTTGTTACTCTGGCACCTCCTCTTTTACTGTGATGTCTGCACTGACCCTTTTCACCTACCAAAGTTGTGCCCGGTTTTATTCTATTCCCTAAATTTTAAGCCATTAATTCATTATTACAAGTATCCCCTCTCTCACTCAAAATTACTTTATTTATCATTATAACAGTTACGATAAATCCATCTAAAATGTAATAAATTAGATCATATCAGCTAACAATAAATCTCACTCTCCTGGCGATGGAATATTATTAGGGAGGGGTGAAAATTGTCTTTGAATCATCTATTCATAGATACTTATAAATACTTTCATGTAGGTTAAAATAAAATTATTCTTATATATTTATTTTGTATTCAGTAAATTATGATTAAAAAATTATTTATAAATTATTTCAAATGAAGTTGATCAATATTTGCTTTTCTAACTCGGTATGCATGATTACTTGTGACAGTTCAGTTATGTCTAATAAGTAATCATCTAGATATCTATTACAAGTAAAGGAGATTGTCTAAATGGAGTTATCGTAGCTGATAACTCTTTGGTATTTTTCCCTTCACTAGGGTGAAAATCCTTCTTCCTAAATATCTAAAATTTCTGTTGCAATATTTAGATGGGAATCAAAATATTTCTACAAGTCTTTTATCAAATTAAATTTCCGGGCATGTCCCGCAAGGCACCTATAGTTTGAGTTGCGATAAAAGTAATGTACTTCTGTGATGCGTGATCTTCGCATTAAAGGACGTTGTGCCTAACTTTCCATACACACTCACAGGAGAAGGTTTTGAATCTTCCATGCATCTTGATTTGGAAGAGGGCGATCAATAAGCGTAAATCCATAATAATGATGATGAAAATGAACGCTTTATTTGAAATTTAAGATAATGATAAAAAGAGTGAGGTGTGCCATTGACTGGGCAACAACTGTTTCTGTCCGGAGCGAAGCAGGAAAGGAAAACCAGACGAGGGTGGATTGTTAGGGTAAGATTAGTGATGGAGTGGAATTGGAGGGGTTTGGTCAGTTATGGATATAGGAGTCCATACATCCCTAACCATGTTAAAAATAGCCAAAAGAATAGTTAGTGAGAAATGCCAGTTTTTTCCCAAAGTTGCAGCCTCCCGCTGCTGCTGAAACTCTCGCTTTACAGCTGGCCCATGCTTTCCCTTTCATCCCAAAAAGCTTCACTTTCTGAGCTCCATCTGACATTAATAAGACTCCTTTTCCCTCTTCTCATTTTTATTATTTTTATTTATTTATTTATATCATGCTCGTATTTCAGACCGGAATTAGGAACAGGCTCTCACTGTTACCACTCCTGACCCAAAAATGACATTTTATCGGTCAAAACTGAAGCAGCTTAACCGCAACCGACAATACATCCTCCCTCCATACTCTCAGTTCATGGTCGGTAGAACAGACAAATTATTTTATTATTACATGATAAAAATAAAATGCAAATCGAACGCAGACTCTTCGAAGTCAAACGCAATTCCCTTGTTTGCCTCCTTTGAAATTGGATTATTGGTTGTTCCGTAAGTACTTTCGTGTCATAAAGTGTCTGGTAGGAGCTAGTAACCTATGAAAAGGTGCGATTTTTTTATTCTTTGTGGCAAATTTAGTAAATTACATTCACTTCATCAAATTTGTGTTTATATTATAATTTTTAAACTTCAATTGTTTTACAAAAACAAATTGTTATATAATCCATCCGCGTTAATGTTAGGCTCAACTGGAATAAATCAGTGATATATATATGTATTTTTCGTTAACAAGATTTTAACTCATCAATTTTATTTAAAAAGTGGGTCTCGTTGACCCAACCATAGCTAGTAAGAAAATAAAAATTTCTAATAATAAATTTAACAAGATGTGATATGATGACACTATTTGTTCATATCATACAAAAATAACCAACACAGGTGATAAAGAAGGCTTAGTGACATTTACTTAAGTCTTAAAAAATTGTCGGTGCAAATCAAACCGTGCCGTCACCACAAACATGCAGACACCAACTCGTGAGTTCAAATTCAGTGAACCCCCAGGCTATAGTTAAATCAGCGCTCAACCATGGCATATCCAGCAACAAGGGGCTGCGAGATACACTCCAGGTAGGTTTCAAGTTCTAAACATCAGAGCGGGAGAGAGGAAGTTGAGGTGGGAGAGATAAAACGAGAAATCTTTTGGGATTCCAAAAACTTGTATAGATACTCCTATAATCTTAAATATAATACCTACTTATGACCTTATATTTACTATGGGAGGGAGTATTATTTTTATTTGTATGCATAGATGATAAACACAAGGTATGCAATTGATTTTTTAATTATTAAATTTTTATTTTAAAATTATTTGCTTTGAAAATTTAAACCCACCCTTGGCTGCGCCACTGGGCTGCGCACTATCTCACGTCTTTAGGGAATTTTAGTTTTGCAGTGCGCCGGGTCGTTTTCCATTTGCACTCAGCCACTGACTTGGCCTTTAATTTAAATTTGAAAAACAAAACATGGCCTGCTCTATGGTAAATTCTGAGAACAAGACCGCAGTGTTGAAGAGCACTGTGTCTGTCTAGCCCTTGATTCGCTGAAGAGATAAGATGTACTCTATGTTCATGCACGTCCAAGATGAAGACGATTTTATTATAATTTATACATATTGGGTGGGAAGGCCTGGGGAGCAGTGAAAAGCCTGACTCACCTTCAGCCTTCATCTCCGAACTACCATCATCCCTTTCTCCGTAAAATCTCTGCCTTTCCTCTTTCTGCTTTCAAACCAGCACTTGAATGAATGCTTCCTCCCCACATAAACAAATCAAATATATCTCTCTGTTTTGTGGTTCTGGGTTTGACCTCATGTTTCAGGAGTGCCCTTTTGCAATTCGTCCAGGATCAAGTCAGTTTAAAAGAATATATATATATATATATATATATCTGATACGCCTCTCGCCGGCCCTTGGCCTACACATGTGTTCTCCCTAGCTCGCTACTAACACTGTCCATCTTTTCTCTACTGTTCCACGGTACTGCCCTACTAAGATGCTCCATTCAACACTTGATATGCCCAATGGCACGCCATCATCATCCCTGCCACTCAAACTCTTACAACTTGCCCTCCTTGAAAGCCAAAAAACAATAAACAACCATATTACTTAGTGCTTAACCTATCAGGTGATTAATAATTAAACCGCTTATTCACTCAAAAAAAAAAATTAAACCGCTTATTTATGGATAATTACACCAGCTGGCTTCTTCTCAGTATATTTCAAACATACCAGGCAGCTCGTGACATGTTCAATTAGCACGAACGTGTACAACCATCCCTGATTCTCCCTATGTTATCTAGGCAGGGCGGCCATATATACGCTAAGGTTTCCCTTTTTTCTTTTCTTTTTTGTCCTGGGCCACTGTAAATTGAATAGGGCTCTCGCTTCTTGTTTCTTGTCTTTGATTCGGCTGTGCGATTTGAATTTAAAATCTTTCCCCTAGCTTTACTCCTGCCATAGCGGGCTATTTTGTCATTAATGTACGACATCTAATTAATTATAACGTCGTAATGAGTATGGTTTCCATTTGTATCTGTGCTCGCAAAACTCAACGTGGAGGTTTGGTTTCTGCGAGCTCTTTCTTTTTCGCTTCATATACAACCCCACGAACATGCGAAATACATATACTTAATTAACTCCTTTGTTTACACAATATATTCACTGTCACAGGTAGGTTACAAAGGAAGATACAAAGAGCATAGATTAACCAGGAAATAACAAATCTCTCGCACGCCCATTTCATACCCGTGGCTTTAAGTGCTAAAAAAGACACGAGAAGCTCAGAAACCAAAGAAAAAACAACCGCAGTTTCAAGTTTCTCCTATGCGCTGCTGCTCCACGAATCTACCCATCATTTGTCTTTCTGTACGTATAGAACACTTTATATTTTAATCATCACTCACTTCCATATGTCGGGGCATAACGTCGATTTAATAATCCATGCACGCAGCATGTATAATTACAACAACTCAACTTTCGACTAAATTATTAATTCTACATATGCTGAATCACCCTTGGCGCTTTATCTACTCATCCTCGTAACTAATACAAAACAGAATTCACAAACTAAATAAGGGAGGGGAAGAAGGAGGGCATCATAGAGAGAATCTTGCGCCACCTGTCTCTGCTTTGTCGTCTAATTAAATAAAATTTAATCTTAGAATAGACTGATTTAATCCTTCCACCGATAACACACGCTAAAGTGGAGCTAACACTTTACCAATCCAATCATTCTAAGCTTGAAAAGAAACTTATCTCCTTAATTAATCCTGATTGGCTTTTTTATTTTTCCTTTTAAGAAAAGAGGCGAGGAATCCCTTTTCCTTGCCTTCATTCCCAACTTTCGCGCTGGAAAGTGGAAAAATAATTGCGCTCAGGATTAAATTCGAAGGGCGATGATGGCTCATAGTTAGCACCATCCATTCCACTCTATTCATATATATTGCTAGTTAATGAGGGTTACAAAGTCGTGGTGTACTATATAATTAAGCACTCATCAAGTGGAAGCTCGTTCTATTTTGTGCAAGTACATCTAAAATACAATTTTCCCCATGCTGTCTATCGACAAGTGTGCCGCTGCGATTGTAATCGGGAAGCGAATGCCAAGTTCATATTCATGTTCTGCAACGTAAAATATGTTATCCCCCTGCTTGTCATTACTCATTACTCACATCGTGGCATATTTTACGCTAAACGTCATATTTTTT